GTTCTAATTTCTTAAGAATATACTAACCATTCTTAGCTCCATAATCATTACAATGAACTTCTAGTACTAAGTCCCTAGTAAAGACAACTTGGTTTATCCTCCTGCAATTACCACTTGGCTAGCTATCTGCCTGACCCATTTCAAAATAAGAAAACTTCAAATTTTTGCATACCAATATTGACACCACGATAGTTCCTAAAAAAAAAAAGGTGGAAGTTTCACCTAAGTTGTAGACGAACACTTTGTCCAGATCCAACTTGCCAAGTGTACACCAACAATTCCTAGCTACAGGGGCCAGTGTGGTAGTGTTTTTTATCTTTAACGAGCGAGTATTTCAGGAAATACGCTCTACTGGAAACCCGATGCGGAGAAAGGTTACCGAACGGGGAACGCGTTCCCTGGGCGGAACATCGGCAGAATTTCGGTAGCCGATCCAGACCAGGCATCTCCTCCTCCCTTCACTGGGACCAAGCACGGGGATACCAACGGCGGCTAATTAAGCGGCGTAAGGAGGTCGTCCCTACGAGTTAATTATTTCTCGGGTATCGTCGACGCGGATGAACGGTCCTCTGCGATCGTAGCTCCCGGGAGCAACTGGAGGCAGGAAATGGGGACGTAAAATGATTCCCCGAAACCGTGTCTAACCGATTGACGACACCCTAAATCAGCTCGACGCCGCCGCGTGGCGCGCCGTCTCGGATGCTGGAGTCGCAATAACGAGGTGTCGTCGTACCAGAACACCTGAATAGTGAATATAACCGGAAGTTGGGATGCCTGATAGAATTCCGATAAATCTAAATATCGATATATCGATATTTTACAGTATGTATACGGTAGTATACGGAGTGCCCCATTGAATATTGTAGTTTAGTGTGTCCCATACAATAGTATACAGTGCGTTCCATAAAATAGTATACAAGTACGTCCCATAGAATAGTATACAGAATGTCCCATAAAATATTGTAGTATACAGAGTGTACCATTGAATATTGTAGTTTAGTGTGTCCCATACAATAGTATACAGTACGTCCCATAGAATAGTATACAGAATGTCCCATAAAATATTGTAGTATACAGAGTGTCCCATAGAGTAGTGAAGTATGCAGAGCGTCCCATATAATATTGTAGTATACGGAGTGTCCCATAGAATATAGTAATATAGAGTGTGTCCCACCGAATATTGCAGTATATAGTGTCCCATATAATAGTATACAGTGTGTTCCACCGAATATTGCAGTATATAGTGTCCCATATAATAGTATACAGTGTGTCCCACCGAATATTGCAGTATATAGTGTCCCATATAATAGTACACAGTGTGTCCCACCGAATACTATCAGGTCATCAAAGCCAAGGGATGATGATAAGCAGGTATGCTAACATAGAAGTACCTTCAGTGCAAATGTCAACGGTTTCACCAAGTGGTAGTACCTGTAGAAGGAAAACAAGGGGACCGATTCAATATTACACCCAACACGTTGAACGAACTCGCGTCGAGGACATGTGTATCTTATTTTCGCAGGATCTCAGGCGAGACCGAAGTGTCCTGGCGCCTGATTCGATGATTTATTCTCGAGGGGTCGTGCTCGGGGCGCGAGGAGGTCGAAGAGGGAGGTCAGGACATTAGTCCCGGGGTGAAAGATACTGTGGTATACGACTTCCTTGTTATTTCGTGGTCGGATAAATTGCTGTTTGCTTCGTTTGCGGCGTGTTTTCGTGGATTAAGGTGGACGCATTCGCAGGAAGTTCATGTCCACAGATGTGGAATCGTGTTTCGGTGGCAAGACAAGGCACTGGTGAGTTGTGTATAGTATTTTCGTTATTTAATAAATTTGCGAAATAGAAAGTTGGATACCAAAACTAATGGGGTGAAGTTGGAGATAATGCACTTATGAGCCTTCTAATTAACATTCTTTAAGGAGTTACATAACTTTGAACTGTTAAAGAGTAAGAGGGAAAATTACAAAAAATTATTTATATATGCAGAATTATTGTTTATTAAAAATTCGACATGTACGTCTTATTATATGTTATTTCCTTAGTAATTTCTGAAAAATTGAGCTATATATTTATCAACAGAAAGAAATGACTACCGTTTTCAAAATCGGTACCAGAAATATTTAAGACTACTGAAATCAATTTGGATCACACTTTGTAGTAATATTTTTAAGAGTAAAATCTAGTACTTGACAAAACGAATTTTTGATTCGTGCATTTTTTCTGTTTTGAGTAGCGAAATAAGTTAAAAATGTATGTTAGAAACTACAAGTTCAAGTTCGAACAGCCGCCAATTTGTGAAATATTGATGTTTTCAAAATCATCTTCAATAAGTACTAGTTCCTTTCGTTTACTTTAATATAAAATTAAAAAAACTTGTTACAGGTAAAACCCCACAGAGATATATCTGGTACTGCAAACGTTGTTTCGATGAAACGGGTTATAATTAAATGGCAACCATTTTCTCCTGTTAATAGGTACATACCTCAATTTTTCAGAAATTACTAAGAAAATAACGTATAATAAGATGTGCATATTGAATTTATAAAAAACAATAATTCTGCATATACAAAAAAATTTTTGAATTTTCCCTCTTATTTAACAGCTCAAACGTATATAACCCCTTAATCGAATTAAATAACAACTTTAGAATGTGTGAATGACAAAAAATGCTTCTCATTCATTTTTCAGCGCAAAGATCGCACGGCTTTGATTGGCACGGGAATCAGGAAGAAGTAAACAGTGAACCGGTAAGAAAGCTAAAGGCGGCTCCACAGGATGCGTCCTTCCTCCCGAGCGCATTCGGACAAGGGCTCATTCAAAGGAAATTCTAACTGTTTACCGTGGCGGTAAACTGCCGCGCCGTTCTCTTTTCCCCCTTTCTTCTCCTACGATCGATAAACGTCGAATCCTTCTTTAAAACCGCGCCCCCATTAATGAATCAGGTTAATTCGGAACCACAAAAATGACTGAAATTTTTTATGTATTCATAGATCGAACATTCCTTTTTGAGATCACTCAAAGTCATTTTAAGTAAAGCTACAAAGTATGTGGGAGCACAGTGCAGTTGTATTTCAACGTATATATTATCTATTGCAGAATAATATTTATTAAATATAATTTGAAGTGATATTTTCTGAACAGAAGTTTAATAAATGGGGACGTAGGTGAGCTTATAATAGGTTTTAACAAATTCTTCTTAGATTCATTAACATTGTTGTGGTAATGTTTTATAGGTATAAAAAATCTTCATACTTCGTTTTTATTAATATTATTTTTTTTAAAAAAAAAGAGTAGGTTGTACGGAGGAGCGTATATTTCGTAATGAGCGCTATACGCCATTTTGAAAATCTGGAATACGCAGTTGCAACGAGAAACCGCGCGTTTTCAACTGTTCTCAAATTGTATTTCACACTTTTAATTACAGTATATCATATTTACAATTTTATATAGTAAAATTAAAAAATTGCTTCATTGTCGGGACAAGAATGGAAGAGACAAATACAATTAGGCGTGCGTGATCTTAAATCCTTTTAAAGCAGATAAAAGATCTACAGAAATCAGCAATGAACGACGGATAACCTTTAACTTGACATTTTGCGTTATTAAGCTTAACGAAATTTCAATTAAACGTTTTCGTTTCTAACGTAATATTAGAAAAAGATTCATTTCTAAGATGATGCTATCGATTTTACAAATGTAACGAATTATTTACACCCTTTCAACCGTTATTCTTTCGAACTGTTCGTTAGCCAATATGGCGGACACTGAGCGCGAGAATCGGGTATTGTAATTCAAACTTGTGTTACTCGCTCATCTTTTGTTTAACGTTCAAATTCAAAAGGAATTAATTAGTAGAAAATATACAATATATAGGTAAGTATAATAACTATACAGCATGTAGACAACTACGAGGAAAAAGGATACTCGTTTACCTTATGCAGGAGATTTACATTATTTAATTCTTAAATAAAAATGAGGCAGTTTCCTATAACATAAGTATCGACTTACCGATTCTATTTCAGTTCTTAATAATATAAAATTAGATTTTGTTGATGTTTGAACGATAACGTATGGCGGAAGAACCGATATTATTGAACATGGATTTGTTTTTAAAATGGCAGCATCGTATTCTGGACCAAAAATGAATACTGACACCGATATCCAGCTTTTTCAGGGTAAGCCTGTATTCATTAATTATGTGTCTAACTAAATCTACTACACATATTTACAAGATCGATTCAGTTGGAAATTTCGATTTCATTGGCACATCGCAGAGGCAAGCGTCAGCCGTTTCATTTATATTTGTGCACTTAATTTTGTTTTCTTTGTTATATTACGGTGTATCATGTTTAAAATTTTTCATGAGTATATAAACAGATTGAAAATTGAAGTATGAAAGCTCGAACAAAAAGTTCCAATGGTGATAAAATGGGAAGTCCCTACAATAATTTATACATTCTTCTTCACTCTCCCTTTCTCCCTTTCATCTTTTACTCTTGCACATAATGTATGGAGTAATCGCTAGATATAGTTCAATAAAAAACTATGCTTTGGAAGTTTGCGTAACAGAACTCGACTCAAGACAATGGTCTTAATTAAAAGGATTCGAATTACCAAACAGCATTAAATTCTTAACAATATGTAAGAACCTTCGATATTTGGCTTCCAATAATAATCAGAAAGAATCCCAAGAAATGTTTAACCTTGACTTGCTGTGTTATCATGTTTAAAATTTTTAAATATAGTACAACTTGTATTTTACAACTAGCCTTCGTATATAAAAATCTATCAAACACCCACAGCATGTTGGCATACACAAAACCAAAAGTTCGTATAGTACCATGTAGATAAATATAGACAAGCAGGCATGTCAGACTCTAGAACCTCCACAGTTCAAATTCCTAAGACCTTTTCCCAAGATCTGCACGCATTTTTATCACAACTTTCTTCGTTCTTATTTAACCTAAAGAACCTGTGAATGCCTTGCAAACACATTCAACTTATTCAATGGCAATGCTCCTTAATACGTATTTCACTGCATAAGCAAATGCTACAAATCCTACAATGGCGAAAACATTAGTGAGCACTCTATGCAAGGGGCTCTGTTCTCTTTGCAATTGGTCCCGTATCAAGGATGAAACCTCTGATGTCATAGACGGATGCCTTGTTTGTTTTTCTAATTCTTTTCTGCGTTCCAATTCTGCTTTTATAACCTACAACATATAAATGTTTCGCTTATTTTTCTGTGCACAGTCGTTACACATGTTCACAATACGAAAATGTTTGGTACCTCAACAGTTTCAGGAAAAAGTTCACAGAACATTTTGTCCCTTAAATTGTACTCTAAACTCTGTGCAGCTAACTGTTTCTTCTTGTAATCTGATGTGTTGATACTACCCAAAGTAGGACTTTTCTCAATCTGTTATATAAACGTTCAATATTAGATATCAGAGTATAACATTCACATTAGTATCGATAAAGAATTATGTATATACCATAAAACTAAGCAATCCAATGAGAATAGTAGATACACTCCATGCTGGATTCCATGTATCCGGATGAAAATCGGATATTGACAAGCACAATCTCGTATTAACTTTAAACCTGCCATTCGGAGTGCTCATGTAAATACTAGGTGGTTGAAATGGAAATTCTCCAGGAAATATAAGCTTCCCGTGATAAAATCCTCCTTCGTACGGAGTTTTCTCTGGGCCTTTCACTACGTAATGCCTACAAAAACATTACATCTGATTCAATATTATCCCGTACCACTTGACACTCTAAGATATCCCATAATCCAGTTAGTATACTTCGGAAATATTAACCATTCTAATATATTAGAAGGTACAGGTTCTGCTACAACATAGGGTACAGGGTCTTTCTTCAGGCGTAAGTAATCCTGTTTCAGTATTGACGTTGCACTATTTGTTTTTCTGTTCATATTAACTGCCAAGTATATTACAAACTGTGTCAGAATAATTCTTTGCTATAGTCTTGTGTGTGTGTCAGTAATTCGCAGAACTGACGATATCCACGTGGAGACTTAAAATTTCGATTTAGGAGGTTTGCAACGCGCTTTATAACTGTTTCGTCAGAAATCTTGTTGTTCACGATAACCTGCGTGACAATTCGAGCCCAGTACGCGTGGATGACTCAAAACAGGTTTCTTTCCGACCTACAGTTCCAGAACTTGAAATCTCGTGACAAACGGCATTAGGTATCAATGAATCGGAAACTTCTCACAGAAAAACTCGGCTCGTGTACCTTTGAATATTTACGAATGACACTGATTTTGACAGTGATCCTTTCCAATACTTTCACAACGGAAAACATAAGACTATGAAATACACTGAAATACTTCCAATTCCCAGTGCTACCACGTTTGCCCGCCGTGGAATGATTAATTATCATATATATGTAATTCTATTAATTACTAAATCATTCCCCTTCGAATTGCATTCCCACGCGTCGTTTCATTACGGCTCCTCCATGAAAACGAACATGTTATGTCCGAGGCCTGTACAAATACCATCGTAGAATATCAATATGTGATACTATCTGAATACTCAAAAGCTAATTTGCCTCAAACAAAAGGTGAATACAAAGCAAAACGATATTTTCTTGACAATAGTACTTTTTATTGGTATTAATACATTATTATTATATTCACATATATGGTTAAAGAAAAGTAACGATGATGAAATTCTTTTTAATGATCGAGCCATATTCAATTACGTGCAGCCACGCGCGCAGAGTTTGGAATTCGAAAAAAAACCATTCGAGGAATGATAAAAACAAACAATTATACAATGAAATTAAAAAAATAATAAACTATTTTGCCCACTTGTTGTCCATGCAATTATATTTTTATACTAAAGAAATTGTTAACGGTTGTTCATAGTATTTGCTGGATGTCACTAGATGTTAATATTTATAATAACAAAAAAAAGTATTTATCTAGCTGTGTAATTATATATATTTACAGAATTGACCATTGCCTTGATTTGTGATTAGACTTTAGTGCTGACCTTTCAATTTTATCTTATTATATCAATTAATTATCCAGGAACTCGGTAAATTCTAGTTTTTACGCTCTGTATAAGACGACGATCTATATAAAACATATTGCTTGTTAATTACGTAATGTCATGGTAGCTTACGAAAGGTGCAACCAAAAATGACTTGTTGATGAATGGAGCTTAAGATTCGTGACAGTCTCTGCCTCCCACCGATCGTCACCGGGAAACTCGACGTTGTTGTTGACATTTTAGACAGAAAGGATACAGTTTGAGTTGCATTCATGAACTGTACCAAAGGGTTTTGTCATCTTTCTAAATATTCATTCCAATAAGATCGATTAATTGCGAAGCTCGTCCAAATGATGAGTTCTCCTGTGTCCATAACCAGCACAGGGCCTATAGCAGGTGCTTTTGGTATGGAAACAGTGGTGGCTGTAGCCCTTGGTGCACTTGCTGCTGTTTTCCTTGGTGCACTCTTAGTGCTGCTTGTTTTGTGTAAACGACAACGATGTTATTATGTAAGTTACACATATTTCGTCTTATTGTCAATATATTCGAAAGTAATTTCATAGTCCTTCGAATATTCTTTTAGAATCAGAAAGATTCTCCGGATTTAAGCTCGGATTTGTTAGAGGGTGAAAACTTCTCCGGTTTAGGGTTGGATGCATGGGAAAGTGAGGAATGGTTAGCCGGTGCTGAAAGGTATTCACTAATACACATAAATAAATTTTTCGCATCACTGATAAGTTGAATTGATTCCTAACTAATCGAGCTGTATGAAATCTGTAGATGGGTTGACGATGCTACCGGTTTAGCTCCTCTGTGCATTGCTGTATTGAGATCGTGCCATGCATTGGCATCAAGTCTGACTGCTATTGCCGGAACAGTGAACAGTAACACTGTTCCACTGGAAATAGTGGATGTAAGTGATTAGTTTTTGATACTGTGAACTTTCTTGTACTATGAATCATTTGTCCACTAGGTTGCTAGACGCATTCCGCCCCGTGTTGACGATGTGGTCAGGAGTTTGTATCCACCTTTGGATGCGAGGCTCCTAGAAGCTAGGGTGGCAGCACTGGTTTTAGCTGTTACGCATTTAGCATTGGTTACAAAACATGGAGTACCAAAGAGTCATGCTAGGAAATTAGCATTTATTGATCAGGCTTTAAGCGATATGGACTCTCATCTGTCAATATTACGGAATGCTGCATTGGCCCAAGAGGTGGCATGCTCTGTTCCAGCTTCAACGCCGGTTTGAGTTAGTCCAGCAGTCTGACACGCGGGAATGTTTTCCGGTAATTACATTTCTTTTATATCTCAGATTGTTTTGGGTCTTAACACTACATTTTTATTAAGATCCGAGATTGAAGGCGTACATATTACGGAAAGTTACGTGTTGTACACTTGTCTTTTATTATGTCAGGGTCCAAAACCTAACACAGTGCTCTAGTTCGAGTTTTCTACCGACAATATTTAGTGCTTCGCAGTTTCTCTACTTATAATTATTATAAAAATGTATACAATATTGATTGCAAATGCAACAAATATTGTGAGATAAATATATATATATTTGAACAGTTTTACCGTTGAAAAAACACCGGAGGTAACGTTTTGTGATATGGATATGCGCAGAGAACTTTAGTCTTCCATTATTATATGCTGCAATCGAAGTATTTATGTATACCCCGAGATAAAAAGAAATTCTATCTCGAGGACCAATGTCATTATCAATCGTATTAAGTATTTATAAGAATTTGTACACATATATTTTGTACGTCTATAAAAATCAAATTAATTTATAGATAAATAGAACTTTATAATAAATCTGAAAGTTGTAAGAAAGAACGTGGATTGTTTGTAGTGTTTCAGCAATATTTTAATCGTGTTTTATTTTTGTAGTATTCTGTAGTAATCTATATATATATATATATGTATGTATATATATATATCCAATTTTTATATTTCTCGCAATACATTATTGATATCGGATCCCTAGATTATTAGCATGGCAAAGTAGACCATGGATTAATCTTGCAGGTTGTCACAGAATAATTCGCTTTATCGTTTAAATAAATTAACTAAGAAATCCTCGATCACTGATTACGCTACACAGCAGCGAGATGTCAGTGCTAGGCATAAAGTAATGTCCAAAAAAAACGGGATATCGGGGATAAGGGGGCAGGTTTCTTATAGTAGAGGGAAAGTATACTGGAGAATGAATCGGAGCAGATCAGAATTACAAGACTGTGTACATTATTTGCTTCTGTGCAATTCTTTCTGTCTCTTTTGGTTGTCGCTAAGGACTTTCGTTTTAAGATGTTCCTTGTAGTTCAGAATATTTCCGCCCCACTTCGTGACAGCACCATTCTCACAGACCCAGATCTCCTCTGCCACCTGTTGAGCAAATACGAAAGTTTTAATATCAACGTTCAAAAAAAAAAAATTCCATTCTCCTGAAACATTTTTGTCAAGACGTGTACCTGATTGATCAACCTGAAATCGTGAGATACGAGCACCATGCCACCGTCGAAGTCGTTAATCGCATCGGCCAATGCATCAATAGTTTCCATGTCTAAATGATTCGTAGGTTCGTCCATAAGTAGTAAGTGAGGTACTTGCCAGGCTAACCATGCAAACACCACTCTACAACGTTGTCCATCCGACAATTGTCGTATCGGACACACCTGATGGTGAAAAAGAAAAATAATCAAAATGAAAATAATTTTTTATCTTAGCGATCGTACCTGTTGGCGACCGGTTAGTCCATAACGACCAATTATTTTTCTCATCTCCTCCCGTTCTTTAACGTCTGGGAAAGCTTTCATCATGTAGTCAAGCGGCGATATATCCAGATCGAGTAATTCATGCAAATGTTGATGATATCTTGCTATTCGAAGGTGACTGTTTTTACGTATCATGCCACTCGACGGAACCAACTGTGAATTTATATTAGCATGTAATTACGATTTTCGTTAATTCTAATTGGTAGGAAGTTCTCGAAGTACTTACATCTCCGTACAGTAGTTTCAGGAGTGTACTCTTTCCTGCACCATTGGGACCGACCAACGCGAGTCTTGTATCCAAGTCGATACCGAATTCTAAATTTTTGTAAATCCACGGGGAATCCTCGTTGTAACGGAAACTAACATTCTGAACCATTATGACTGGGGGTGGAATAGTTCCGCAAGATGGGAAGTAGAAATTTAATACTTTGTCGTTGACAACTTTTTCGGTGAGGCCTTGTGCTACCATCTTCGCCAATGTCTTCTCCTTAGATTGAGCTTGTCTGGCCAGCTTGGCGGAACCGTGACCAAACCGGGCGATATAATTTTTCATGTGCGCAATTTGATCCTGTTCCCAGTTATACTGTTTGGCTTGATTCTCTAATAACTCCATCCTATTGGGAAAATATCGGTTAGCATCTCTCGTTCAGTAGCTTTCAAGTATGAAACGACAGAAAAATCGTGAGAAACTTGCTTGTAGCAATTTTACCATACCTTGTTTTCACAAACGCTTCGTAATTTCCAGTGTAGTATTTTAATTGCTTCTTACTGACGTGGATAATATTTGTACAGATGCCGTTAAGGAAATCTTGCGAATGCGAAATTATGACGAGAATTCTTTTGTACGTCTTCAACTCTTCCTCCAACCACACACAGGCATCCAGATCCAAATGATTTGTAGGCTCGTCGAGTAACAATAAATGTGGTTTCACGTACAGGGCTCTGGCGAGAGCGATTCTCATTCGCCAACCTCCAGAGAAATCTTTGGTCGGTGTCCCTTGCATCTTTGCGGTGAAACCAAGACCATGTAAAATGTGCGCAGCACGAGCCTCTGCCGTGTCGGCGGCCATATCCTCTAATCTTTCATACACATCCATGAGCTGTTCTTGTGCGTCCTCCTCTTCGCACTCCATCAACTCTTCAGCCAATTTCTCTAACCGTACACGCTCCTCGTCGACCTCCATCACACACTCTAAAGCCGATTTATTGCTAGCAGGCATTTCTCTAGTCAAATGAAAGATATCGATCTGATCGGGAATAGGAACTTCTCTGTTTCCAAGTACAGCCAGTAAAGTGGATTTTCCGGATCCGTTCAGACCAAGTAAACCGTATCTTCTACCGCAATTCAACTCTAGCATAGTATCTTGCATTAATTCACAGCCATGGAAAGTAATAGAAAAGTTAGATATCTTTATGTCACGACTTCGCGGATGCGAGGCCAATGATCCTGTACATGAGCGTGCTTCTGCGTTGAGTCTAGCATCTGTCTCCAACTTGAGACACAATGCCTCTGCGAATAGCGATAGAAATTCAATTAGTCCAGGTTTGCAACAGTTATAAATTACTCTAATTGTTACCTTCAACGCTGATAGGAGTTCCATTGATACCGTTCTCAGTTGCCCCGGGGCTGCCCTCCTTGCCATCCTCTGAGCCTTTTGTTTGATTGCCCTGAAGCGGTTTCTTTCCTGACTGCCTGGCCTTAGCAGCCTCTTTCTTTTTCTGCTGCTGCTTCTTCTTCGCGTCGGATGGCATGGTTCGTCTGAAATTTCATGAGACTCTCGAACGTTCTGCGAAGGTGAACCCCAGGTAGCTGTACAGGAGTGTACGTGTTACGTAAACCGCAGGTTAGGAACGCGACAGCACGTGCGTTTAGGAGCCAGATCGGAGCGTGGTAACGTTGAATTTGAAAATTCGAAAATTCTCTATCACCGTAAACGGTTCGTTACATGAGCCAACCAAGGGGATAGGGTAAGAGGGAGGGACAGACTGACACAGACAGAGAGAGAGAGAGAGAGAGAGAGAGGACTACAAAGTGGGGCGAGAGAAGAAGCGAGACAAAGACAGAGAAAGGGTTCTAGGCAAATAGATTTTCATCCCGTTTTGCGAATTTTCATCCGTGCAATCGAAAGGACCAGTGATGGAAGTAATTAAATCGCAAGCAACCATTCAAAGGATGCAAATGAGGACCATGTGAGAGAGAAGGATGAGAGATGATCAGGGAGGGGAAAAAGAGACGAGACACCTTCAATCCAAGAGACAAAAGGAACCCCCCAATCGTATTCTGTACGCTGAATCACTTGAAAAATTACACAGTCTTACGTGTTGCTCGATCCCTCGTTTTGCCCCGAATCACCGTTCTCAGGATAAACGTCCAGAAATTACCTAGTTGTGCGCCAAAAATCGAACGGTCCGTGCAACACGCGAACACACGTGCATGGATAAAGGCAAAGCCGTCAAACCGACAACGTTTGTCCGCTCGTTTCAGAGATGGCGGCAGATGTACGGTGGAAAATTTCTGGACGGATGAACGTACGCAAATCGTAATACCGTGAAAAATCGTGATCCTGCTCGAACGGGAAATTTACGGATACAGTTTTGTATCGCAGACTGTGTCGTGATTTCGAATAAATAATAATCTCGAAGAAATTTTAGGTTAAGGGGAAATTTTGAATTGCCGGAAACGGGATAACTTTATGGTGATGCTAGCGCCACGATACCAGTATGCCGCGAATCTCGAGGTTATGAACAGTACTTTCCATTTTACTTGATTGTTTCCAACAAAATATACGTGTCAGCATTATTGTTATAATGTATATGAATTTTTTTATCGAATGTAGATATTTCAGTACGAAGGATTGTGGTGCTATTCGTGGATACAAATAATTACAAGGTTAGGTAAGTCCATCCAAAGCTGTTCAACCGCCATGTTAATTCGTATTTGAAATGGCCCGCGATGTAGGATAAGAATTAGTGATACAATTGTCGCTTCAAGCAAACGTTATTTCGACAAACATTAGAAAAATGATCATTTTCTATACTCCTGAAAACATTCAAGGATATACATTTTAAGTTTTTATTAGAGCTACATGTCTGACAGATAAACGGTCATTATCGAACACAGCAACCGAAATTCTTTTCGATAATCGATTTTTCAACAACATTTTCGATGTTCACGTTTCGTAACAATCATCGACGAATAAAACGTTCATTCATTCTGCATGTAAAATGCAACGTTAAATACATGTAATTTCCCGTGAAATACGACCCAGATTAACGTAAAAGTCACTGGGAACAATGATACATTTAAGGAACAATAGTCGTGTACTACCACAAAATGACTTTTTTAATTGCATCTGGCCCTCATTGTAACAGTCCCATTTCACAGTTTCAAGCAGGAAACCATTCGGAGAAGCTGGCAACAATAGAGACTTTCGTGTACAAGGTGCAAAAAGCAACGTCCCTAATATTAAACGGAGACGAAAAATCTACCCGAGACCAGCACAGATTCAAAATACCAAAATAATCATTACCGAAACATTCTCAGGATGCTTTCCCCATAATGGTAGAGGGTCAACCCCTGATGAAAACGTGACTCAGCGAATCATAGCTACCACACACATCGCGCAAATCTTACGCTGGTAAATGCCCAAGCCCTGGAGGATTCATTTCGGTGTGAGAGATTCAAGTTTCTAAGGTGAATTGAAGACTCCCGTAAATTAAGGTCGAAGAATCGGATTCCTCGCGCCGGTGGTTTACGTGGGGGATTTCGAGGGGGTGGGGGAGGGGGCGCTGTTAAAGAAGCGTGTTCTGATGAATGAACGAATGGATAAACGGCGGCTGGGTAGGGGTGGTTAAAAGAAGAGACGGACTGCGCCCCTGCGGGTCCGAAGTCTGCCGCCTGGGTTCGGTGGTGAGGGTAAGGATGGTATAGGACGAGTCGGCGTGGGGGGTGGCAGGGAAGGGGGAGGGGGAGACTGGGCTGGCTTAATTGCACCGCATCACAGAACGTAGTATTTCGTAGTACGTGGTGGTGGGGGTGTAATGCGTCCTCGTTCTCGTCGAGGCGTCGTTATTCGTATGTAAGCTGCACGCTCACCCGGCATCGACGTATGCGTACCAGTGACGTACCTAGACCGTCCCACAATAGGGGCCACCTTTAATTTAGGAAAATTCGCTGGAAGTTGAAATTGTCGATACTTGGGGAAATATAAATTTCGTGAACTGATTTACAGTAACTGGAATCGAATGAAGAAGAAAAATATTGCATTTTACTCAACTTATTAATCGAGGTTGTTTAATGCGAATAGTGTGACGTACCTAGATTGTCCCACAATAGGGACCACCTTTAATTTAGGAAAATTCGCTGGAAGTTGAAATTGTCGATACTTGGGGAAATATAAATTTCGTGAACTGATTTACAGTAACTGGAATTGAATGAAAAAAAAAAAATTGCATTTTACTCGACATTTAGTATACGTTACTGTGAATGGACTTAAATGCGTCTTAGACGTAAAATAGCCGTAAAATGGGTACTATCTGAGTACATTACAAAATTCTTTGTTTAGCTTAGAGATTCCTTTGTAAAAAAAAAAAACTATTTTAAACTGTTCATGTCTGGACGAACATTAAATTATTTTGTTATTGCGTTTTATTCGACTTTTTAGTATACTTTGCTATGAATAATCCACAGGTTCTTGTGTATATCCGCAATGTGAGGAATTATTTCTAAATTATTGGGTTTAGCTTGGTGATTCATTTATAAAAATAAAATATAAACAACAGTAAACAAAATTTTTTTAAATTTTAACAAAATCCGAACAGTTTGTATCTAGACCAATAATTAAATTATTTTGTTGTTACAAATATTGCATTTTACTCAACCGTTTAATGTATTTTACTATCAACACAGGTTCTTCTGTAAGTTCTCAGTGAATGGAATTGTTTCGCAATTTTTAGCTTGGTGATTCGTTTGTAAAAAACAATTTTGAATAGTTTATACCTAGACCAGCATTTGAATTACTTTGTTGTTTGTGGTAAACAGCGACGGTAATTCTAGTATTCTATAACTGATTTCACTAGGATCTGGTACAAAGGTCGCAGGATTACCGTTGAATATTGAAAGAGGCGTTTTAGTATTCTGGTGGGTGTCTTACCGGAGCTCCTAATTTTGGACAATATACGGCCAAGTGGCTTTTGTTAGCCGCAAGTAGGGGTCGGAATCGCCGGAGCAACGATAATACGAACCAATCGGCAGGACGTACGACACCGACGTAATAATCGATCGATCGAGACGTTTGACACACTTTTCGAGGCGGACGACGATTAATTTTCGACGATGCAATCCTGGTCCCGGGGTAGATACGCGATGCTTCCGTGGAAATAGCTTTCCAAGAACGAACCCCTGTATCGTAATAAACAATCGATATTATTATCGACTGTAATTAAAAAAAAAAAACAGTTTTTCAGACCGTTGAAATTGGTACATTGTGTATTTCGAAATGCACCCTCGACAAAAATGAAAAATCCTGTTCTCGACTTTTGTCAAGGACTTCCATGTTCTGTATTACAATAAATTTTTACATAAAAAGAATGAAATAATACTTAAAAACATACACGAAAATAATGCACTAAAAAATATAAAATAATTTTTATAGTTATCCGAACATTTTTGGTTATATATGACTGAAAATAAAATCGTGGAGCGCCCAGAAATGAATTATATTGGATAGTGACCATGATGGACGGTCCATGATTTTATTTTTAGTCACATACGACCAAGAATCTTGTTATAGCTATAAAAATAATTTACCAACCTAAATAAAACCGTGTAATAATAAAAAAAATGTAAAAATATGTATTTAATATCATAATATACTGTATCAAATTGTCTATAAATTAAGAACGTGAACTACATATATATATTACTGTGTCAGGCGAATAAATCACATCATTATAATTGCCTGAATTGTTTATGATATTCAATAATACTCCAAGTTTTTCCATTCTAATTGCGTTCTTACCTTTTGTAAAAGTAACTTCTCCAAACTTGACAAAGACATAAAAAATATTTTTCTTATGTTTCTTGTTTTTGAGGATTACGTTAAAAATGTAGCTAACTTGGGGATAAGAAGAGGGTGAAATGACTTATCCTTCAATCTTGGTGAATATATGACAGAATATTTTTGAAAAGAATATTTTATTTGTAGAGTATAATAATAATAAATCTAATTGGGATCTTATTTTTTGTAAAAATAACTTCTCCAAACTTGACGAAGACAAAAAATATCTTATATGTTTCTTGTTTTTGAGGATTATGTTAAAAATGTAGCTAACTTGGGGACAAGAAGAGGGTCAAATGACTTCAATCTTGGTGGATATATGACACAGAATATTTTTGAAAAGAATATTTTATTTCTAGAGTATTATAATAATACCCCAAATTTTTCGAATCTAATTGGGATCTTATTTTTTGTAAAAATAACTTCTCCAAACTTGACGAAGACATAAAAAATATTTTTCTTATATGTTTCTTGTTTTTGAGGATTATGTTAAAAATGTAGCTAACTTGGGGATAAGAAGAGGGTCAAATGACTTATCCTTCAATCTTGGTGAATATATGACAGAATATTTTTGAAAAGAATATTTTATTTGTAGAGTATAATAATAATAAATCTAATTGGGATCTTATTTTTTGTAAAAATAACTTCTCCAAACTTGACGAAGACAAAAAATATCTTATATGTTTCTTGTTTTTGAGGATTATGTTAAAAATGTAGCTAACTTGGGGACAAGAAGAGGGTCAAATGACTTCAATCTTGGTGGATATATGACACAGAATATTTTTGAAAAGAATATTTTATTTCTAGAGTATTATAATAATACCCCAAATTTTTCGAATCTAATTGGGATCTTATTTTTTGTAAAAATAACTTCTCCAAACTTGACGAAGACATAAAAAATAGTTTTCTTATATGTTTCTTGTTTTTGAGGATTACGTTAAAAATGTAGCTAACTTGGGGATAAGAAGAGGGTCAAATGACTTATCCTTCAATCCTGGTGGATATATGACACAGGGCAGTGGAGAAAAGAATATTTTATTTATAGAAGATCTAAGTATATCCAGTTCGTCTTGCAGTTCTGAAGGAATATAAAGACACACTGGTCACGAGAATGGGGGATATAGGATGATCGTGACGGCCCTGCCCGTTTGTGTGCGTGACGTGGAACCGACACGCGAGCGCAGGCTCGCGTGTCACCACCGTCGTAACCCTCGAGTACATCGGGAGATCCACGATGGACAGGGGAGGTCGTGGCTGAAAGGAAGGGGCTGAAAAAAGGTGTGAATGCCGTATGGCATTCATTCAAATGCCGTCCAATCACAGCACCGTACTCCAGGTCGAGTGGCAGGGCCGGCATACACCGGGAATTATTAATTCCTTGCTGGCTCTCTGTTGCGTTAACG